GGCCCTCGGTCGGCACTTGCAACCCAGCGCCTGTCTGCGCTCACACACAGGCAGGAAATGGTATTTATGTGGCCCTGGGGAAAGAGAAGCAGCAAAGTGCCCCGGGGGCTCCTGACCTGGTGGCTCTTCAAGGCATTCATCAACCTGCTCTTGCTCATGAGATCCCTTTGTCTTCCCTCCCAAGGGTCCTCCACTCTCATCCTTCCGGCCCGGCTGGAGAGGGTTTGGGAGGAGGAGGAAGAAGAGGAGAAGGGAGATGTGAAGGCTGTGTGCAGACCTGCAGGTGGTACTGCCTGTTCCCCAGGACATCGTGGATAACCACTGTGTGAGAGGAGGCGTACAGGAGCACCCGCTCCTCCCCGTCCATCAGGCTGTGCACAGCCAGGCTGCTGTTGTAGCCCAGCACCCAGGACAGGCTCTGTGGGGAAGAGACAGCTCCTGGCTCTTAGCAACAGGGACACAAAAGCCACTGAAGTCTCTGGTGATGGCAGAGAGCTGGGTGCTCTTTGGACCATCACAGCGGCACTGAGCCCATTGGTACTCACAAGGGGGTGAAGGCTGCTCTGCCTGTCCTCCTGGAACAGCATCCCCGGCACAGCCTCCCACACCAAGCTGGCAAAGCCATCTTGCCTGCTGTCCTGGGGCTCAGGCAGTGCTGGGGATCCAGCACCCTCCAGGCATGATGTCCCTTCAGCATCTTCCCCCTTGGCATCCTCCTGTGCTCCTTCCATCTCCTTGTCAGCAGCAAGGGGGTCCTTGGAAAGGGAGAGAGGTTTCAATGGATGCTGGCTCTGTGCTGGTCCAGCCAGGGGCTGCCCTGCAGCTAATGGGAACACACCTGGCACATCTCCCACCCAACCTGCATCACTCTCAGGGCAGGCTCCAGTATCCAGGTGCTCCTCTGCTCCTGTTGAAACTGCCTATGGATTTGCACCAGGGAAGGAAAATGCCATGGGAAGTTTCCCACTGCGGCTGCTTCCCTTTCTGCACGTCTGATCGTGCCCTCTTTGCACCTCCCACTGCCTCCTGTATCAAACAGCCCTGGGGTGTCAGAGCTCGCAGCAGCCCCTGCACAGGTTTTCCCCACTTTATCTTCCCCTTGGGATCCACGCCACCCTTTGCCTCTCCCCGCAGGCGTTTGTTTTCCTGCAGCAATCTCTCATGCGGACACAAACCCCCTCTGGACACGGGTTTTGTTTCTGGGGCAGCTCAGATAACGTTTCATTCACTCACTGCAGGGATGAGGCCGCCTTCCCTCCTGCTCGGATCACTCTCAGGCAGCTCAAGTGCTCAGCAAACATTGAGGAGGAATGGACCGAGACTACACAGAGCTGCTGCTGAGCTCCCGTTCTGCACGACACTGGGGAGCCGGGGGCTCTGCTTCCACCAGGACCTGCCCATGGAGCCTGTGTCAGGCAGAGCTTGCCGTGGTGCTGCCCTCACCTTCACCGGCAGCGGGGCCATGGCCTGAGCTCTCTGTGCCTCCTGGGGTGTCTCCTTGGGTTCACTGCTTACTCCTGCTCCCCCCTGGGTTGTGCAACTTCGCATGAACCATTCATCTGAACCATTCATCCCCTGGGGGCATGGAGATGCTCTGAAACACCCCTTCACCCCCCAGGTTTGGCTGCACAACGGCCTGGAGTTTGGCACAACAGGAGAAAAGGGCACCTGCAAAAAGTGCCCCAGAGCCCCTGTTCAGCTCCAGCAACGCCCCCGCTGTGCTCAAGCAAGCCCAGCACAGCCCTGGTTACTCCAACGGAGCTCAGGCTCCCTCCCCTCTGCCTGCGTCCCGTGCCGGGTGCGGGCACTGCCCCTCGGACTGGGGTTCTCACAGTCCCCATCGGCAGCAGTTGGCTCATCCCGGGTCTGGATTTGAGCCAACACCAAAACCTCGTGCACAGACGGTGGAAGGGACCCCATGAACCGCACACACACACACACACACACACCCCCACACACCACCCCCCCGGCCCGGCTGCAGGACGGGGCCCTGGGCACCTCTTGCAGCCGCACGGGTCTCACCGGAGCCACCTCAGAGCCGTCCCCAAGCCCCCTCCAGGCCTTGGTTCCTCCCCGGCACCGCGCTGGGGACCCTGAGCCCGGCCCCAGCTTCTGTTTGCAGCCCGCGGCCGTTCCCAGGCAACGGCTGCTCCAACCGTGCCCGAGCGCGCCGGGGCAGGGCAGGGGTGTGCGGGGAGATAAGGGGGGGACCCCGCATCCCGCCGGCTGCCCCTGCCCCACGCAGGAGCCTGCTGGCACTGGGGGGACGCTCAGCCCCTGCCCGGCCCCAGCCCGAACCCTGCTCATGGCGGTGCAAAGCTCCCCTTGGTACCCCCCCTTCAGGACCAACCCCTCGCCCCGTGCAGGGAATGGGATGCGGGGTCCTTACCCAGTGCTCCCGCGGGGGGTCATGGGCAGGTTCTGCTCCCCGGGCACCCCTGAGCAGGACGAGCAGAGTCAAAGGGAGGAAAATTAGCCCCCAGCCCCTGCCAGGTTCCCTGCTGTCCCCAGGGTGGCACTGGCACAGGGAGCCCCATCACCTCGAGCCATCGCCTTCAGCACCGCAGATCATAGAATCGTAGAATCACAGAATAGTTAGGGTTGGAAAGGACCTTCAGATCATCCAGTTCCAACCCCACTGCCATGGGCAGGGACACCTCACACTAAACCATCTCAGCCAAGGCTCTGTCCAACCTGGCCTTGAACACTGCCAGGGATGGAGCATTCACAGCTTCCCTGGGCAACCCATTCCAATGCCTCACCACCCTTACAGGAAAGAATTTCCTCCTTATATCCAATCTAAACTTCCCCTGTTTAAGTGTTAACCCGTTACCCCTTGTCCTGTCACTACAGTGATGATCAGCTCTAAGGGCTCCCGACCTCAGCCTTGCTGCTAAGCTCAAATCAGAACAATTTCTAACTCAAATCTGCTTTTCCTTCTGCCCAGCTGGAGCCTCGTGCTCTGCTGGGAGAGGAAAGGAGCTCATCACCAGCTCACATTATCTCCTGCACCTGAAGAGGCGGCTGCTCTGGGCTCCGGTGTGGGACATCCCTCTGCTTCCAGTCAGGGGAGGTTTATGGCTTCAGGAGCAGGGGTTTGGCCACATCTCTGCTGGGTGCAAGGAGGCAGCTTTGGTCACCAGCACCTGCACATGAAGCTTGCTCAGGGATGGTGCTTTTCCTCCCACCCAGTAGCATCCAGCTCCCTGATCATGCAGGAAATGGGGAGTGAGCTCTGCTCTCCAGCATGAAAATCGTGATCGTTCCACCTGAGAGCAGCTCCTCTTCTGCTCTGGCCCCATAGCGGGGGGTTGAGTGGGGTCTAAGGGAGCTCAAACCTCACCTCCCCACAGCAGGCTCTGTAACACCATCTGTGTTTATTACCCTGGTTGGGACTGTCCAACCCGTCCTCATCAGGACACACAACACCAGGGACTTCTACAGAAGCCTCCCAGAGCTGAGGGCCCTGTAGAGCACCAGGCACCCTGCACGCTGCAAGGGAAAGGAGCTCCCCAAGAGCAGGAATTGACCTGGCTGAAACCCAGCCTCATTTCCAGTGGGATTTCACAGGGGATTGAGGAGCTTTTGGCCTTTGTGGGTCACAGAACCTGGTGATGCTCAGCAGCGCAGGCTTAGCCTCAGTTGCTCTGGCAAAACAAGGCAGGGTGCACATGTGGCCCCAGAACACGACCTGCTCTGTCATCCTCCAGGAGATGGAGCAGACACCACCACGTTTCACCCTTTGAACGTTACTTGAAAGATCGGAGTGAGATGGGGTTTGATGGGCACAATCCCACCCAAGGACCATCGCCATGGGCTGCTGCAGGAACACTTCCAGCGTGGCACCACGAAGGCTGCGGGAATCCCTGCGCAAGGAGCTGTGCGTTGAGGCTTTCCCATTGAATCTGCTCTCTGGGACTGTGCATTGAAGCACAAACACTTGAAGTATCCAGAGCAAACCAGCTCGATTTAACACAGGGCCCTGGGCAAGCGATTGCAGCGGCTGGGGTTCTATTTTCTGAGCCTGTTTCAGGTTTGGTTAATACCAATTAGAACAAAACTGCTCATTAAGTGCCCACAACCTCCTTATGAAGTGCTAATGAAAGACTTCCCTGGACCTCAGCTCTGGAAGGAAGGTGAGGGGGGCAGGACTTTGTGTCTGCACATGTCTGGGTTTAACCCACTTAAAGTGCCCCCCAGTTACTGTCCAAAATAACAGCTTCCATTACCCAAAAGAATAACACAGGAGTGGAGAGAAGTTCCTCAGTTTTATTGCTTTGGGAGAGTATTTTGAAGCTCAACTGGAAACAAGCGTAAACCCAACCACCCCCAAAATCCCCTCAAAGACTTTAAGCACCCCAAACCCAACCACTGCAAACAGAAAGATAAAACAGAACAATTCAAAGTCAAGGCGAAGCTGGATTAGAGGTACTTTGACCATGACTTTGTGAGCTGCTAAAAGGGAACCAAAGCAGAATTATAGCCCCTATTGCTTATCTCATTAACTTCAAATAACGAGGCATTCCAAAACTTCTTCCATGGTGTTTGGTGACTTCAGAAGTTGTGGTAACATGGGGGAGAGAAAGTCAAATCTGCGCATTTCCTGACTATCACCTCCTATTAACAACACCACAAAGTGCTCCGGGACTCTTTAAGGTGTACTGCAAGATGTTCAGTGAGGAATTGTGTAAGTGAGGTGAAAAGGAATGGTCCGTTATGACCAAGAGCATCTCATGCTCTTTAGAGCCTTTATCAGGTGAGGTTTGGGTCTGGGTCTCTCTATAACCTCATTCCATTCCAATACAAGGTGTAAGAGAGGAGAAGCCAAGTCCTGCAGTGCTGCAGGTTATTCCCGATGAGCCGGTGCCATCCTGAAGTGCAGCAGGCCCTGCTCCATCAGAACCTCTCCACTCTGGAGCCTGGCACCCAGAGCTCACAGCCTCCAAATCAGTTCTGTCACCAAAACCACAGAGTTCTCCAGCCAGATCAGGGTCCAGAAAGCAGGCACAAGCTTTGGCTTTATTGTTTTCCAGGCGATGGTTATCTCTGCAAGGGAATGATATTGCAGCTGAAAGAGAAGAGGGTAGAAGGAACCATTGAAAGCTCAGTTCTCAAACAGGCACAGAAGATCTGACATGGGATGAATCAGAGCCACCACAGCTGGGGGGAGGCTTCATCTGTTCTAAGTGAAAGAGCAGCTTACCCCAGGAGGCCCTTCCCAGCCCAGCGCTTGGGGATCAGCCCCACGTGCACTTTTCTGCCACCACGGATCACAGTCACGCTCAGGGGCCTCTGAAATGCAGAAGATACCGAGATAAAGAATAACTTCCCAGCACCAAGGGAATGCTCTTCTTCCTTCTTCTGCCACCAGAAGGGTTTAGGCCCAGGGGAGATGCTAAAGCAGCACCCACTCCCGTCCCTGCAGCTCGATCCGAAAGAAGAGAGCATTTTGTGTACAGACATCTCCAGATCTCTCACTCCCACTTTAAGGCACTTGATGGCTGTGGCAGCATCTTTGGTGAGCCCACGAGGGTGGCAGAGCAACACAGCTTGCTGCTGCAGGGAGCCCCCAGGGGACAGCAGGCAATGTGATGCTTGCAGCAAAGAGCACACACCTCTTAGCTCTCTTCTAAGCAGCAGGGATTTGCTCAGTGCTGTGAGAACAAGGCTAAACCAGCACACACTGAACTTGACGCTGTTTCTGACATGAAACCGATGATGCTGGAGCTCTAAGTGAATAGAAAAAGCTGTGGCTAAGGGAGACGGGCAAGAGAGTGCAGGCAGAGCAGAAAGCAGCTCACCCCTTCGCTGTGCTGCACCACTGTGGCGATGTTCTGCAGGTTCTGGAAGTTGTTCACGTTGACGGAGCCAAACTCCACAATCTCATCATCCACCTGGAGGCCCTGGGCAGAGGCAGAAGAGAGATGAGCGCCTGCCTTCTCCAAAGACAGGAGCATCGCCCTTCACCCAGCCACATGCAGACAGACGGACTATGACGCTACTCTTCTCCCCATTCAGGCAACCCTCCATGTCCTTGGAGAGCAGCAAGTACTTCACTCCTCTGTCTTGTTTTATCACAGAACAGTTAGGGTTGGAAAGGACCTTAAGATCATCCAGTTCCAACCCCACTGCCATGGGCAGGGACACCTCACACTAAACCATCTCACTCAAGGCTCTGTCCAACCTAGACTTGAACACTGCCAGGGATGGAGCATTCACAACCTCCCTGGGCAACCCATTCCAGTGCCTCACCACCCTTACAGTAAGAACTTCCTCCTTATATCCAATCTAAACTTCCCCTGTTTCAGTTTTAACCCGTTACCCCTTGTCCTGTCACTACAGTCCCTAGCGAAGAGTCCCTCTCCAGAAATACCGAGCCTGGAATGGTCAGGGAGGCCTGGAATGAGCGGTGTGGTGCACGGATACAGCTGGGAAGAGAGCACTAATCCCCTGACCAAGCCCCCAGCTTATCCCCACCTATGACAGGAGGCAGAGAACACCATGCACTGTGCGCTGGCTCCCCAGGAGCTGTCAGACCCCAGGCTCACCGATACGCTGGCAGGAGACCCCGGGGTCACGGCGTTCACCCTGGCAAAGGGCTGTGGCAGGCTCTGGCTCTGGCTCAGCGCCTCGGCCCTTGCCTCTGCCTCGTCCCGGGCGTGTTTCTCCTTCTCGCGGGCGTGCAGCTGGTGCAGAGCTTCCTCCACCTGCTTCATGAGGGCCTTGTGGTCGTTCTGCAGACCTGCGCTCACAGCGGGGCACACGAGGAGCGCCGCGAGTTACAACCCAGGGCTCTTTCTCAGAGCGGGCTCTTCCGCGCAGCGGTGTGCAGACCGTGGGATGGGCAACCCGGGCCTCAGCTGGGGCTGCCAAGAACCTCTGCTCGTGCTGGTGCCAGCCCTGCTCACACAGCCCACCAGATGTTTGTCTACTGGCAGAAGACACAGAAAGCCACCCCAAACCACCCCAGCTATTCTTTACCCCAAGTTGATTCTACAAACACCACAAAAGCGCTTCACTGAACTTCACAAATCACAGACCCCAGCCTGGTTTGGGTTGGAAGGGACCTTAAAGCCCATCCAGGGACCCCTTCCACTAGAGCAGCTTGCTCCAAGCCCCCGTGTCCAACCTGGCCTTGAGCACTGCCAGGGATGGGGGAGCCACAGCTTCTCTGGGCACCCTGTGCCAGCGCCTCAGCACCCTCACAGGGAAGAGCTTCTGCCTAAGAGCTCATCTCAGTCTCCCCTCTGCCAGGTTAAAGCCATTCCCCTTGTCCTGTCCCTGCAGGCCCTTGTCCAAAGCCCCTCTCCAGGTTTCCTGGAGCCCCTTCAGGCACTGGAGCTGCTCGGAGGTCTCCCCTTACGGAGCCTTCTCTCCCTCTGCAGAACCACTCCAGCTCTCAGCCCCTCTTCCCCCAGCCCGGAGCGGCCCCGCCGCTCCCTCCCTCCCTCCGCCCGTCCGTCACTCACAGACGATGCTGTGCCGGGCGGTGCGCACTTGGTACAGGTCGATGTCATCGCGGGGGAACCCCTCCGCGTCCACCAGCGGCTCGTTCATCCCCACGCCCTTTTGCTGCGAGGGAAGAAGCGCCCGTGGGGCCGCGGCCCGGTGCTGCAGCCCGGCCCCGCCCCGCCCGCGCCCCGCCGCACTGACGCTCTCCAGCAGCTCGTAGCAGGCCTTGATCTGCGCCTCCAGCTCGTCCTTGCGCCGCACCAGCTCCTGCACGTCGCTGACGGTCACCGGGCGGCTCCCACCGGGGGCATCCATGGCCGCGACGGGTGCCGGCTGCGGACAAAGCGCGTCACAGCCGGAGGGGCGGGGCGGGGGCCGGCTCCGCCCACGAGGGGGGCGTGGTCAGAGCCTGGGCGCGTGGTGTGACGCGGCGTTGGCAGTGACGCGGCGTTGGCGCTGCACGTGGTGCCGCGGAGGGTTCGGCGCCGCAGGGTCACGGAGCAGCAATGGGCTGCGGCCGCTGGGATGAGGTTCAACAGGGAAGTGCCGGGCCACAACAACCGCATGGAGCGCTCCAGGTGTAGGGAAGAGCGGCTGGAAACTGCTCATGGGAAAGGAGCTGGGGGTGCAGAGCGATGGAGTTGAGAAGGAGCAGCTCGTGCCCAGGCAGCCCCCAGCATCCTCGCCTGGATCAGCACCAGTGCGGCAGCAGGGCCAGGGCAGGGACTGTGCCCCTGCACTGAGCACCGGTGAGGCCACACCTCAAATCCTGTGTTGAGCTCTGGGGCCCTCACTGCAAGAGAAACATTGAGGTGCTGGAGCGGGACCAGAGGAGGGAAACGGAGCTGGTGCAGGGCCTGGAGCACAAGTGTGATGGGGAATGGCTGAGGGACCTGGGGGGTTCAGTCTGGAGAAGAGAAGGCTCGGGGGGACCTGATTGCTCCCTACAACTGCCTGACAGGAGGATGGAGCCAGGAGGGGCTGGGCTCTGCTCCCAAGGAACAAGGGATGGGACAAAAGGAACCGGCCTCAAGCTGCACCAGGGCAGGTTTAGATGGAGCTGAGGAACAATTCCTGCCCCAGAGGGTGCTCAGGCATTGGAACAGGCTGCCCAGGGCAGGGCTGCAGTCACCGTCCCTGCAAGTGCTCACACACCGTGGAGACGAGGCCTCAGTGCCATGGGTCAGTGGTGGCTTTGTCAGTGCTGGGGTAAGGGTTGGACTGGAGGAGCTTAAAGGTCCCAGTTGGAAATGTCCATGTCCATGTCCATGCACGCTCACCATCTGGATTCCACCCTGCTGAGCCACAGCCAAGGCTGCAAAGGACCCCGTGACACCTGGAAGCCACCCAGGAGATGACGCTGGTGGATCCCAGCCCAAACCAAACACGCACCCCCTGGTCACAAAGGCTTTGGTTGGGGGTGGGAGAAGGTGGAGCCGAGGAGGAGCTTCCCTGTCCCACCACTATATTAAATGTCCTCCTGTACTCTCACTCTCTCTGCCGCTGTCACATCACCAGCGCACAAAAATGGTGAGGGGCAGCAGATGAGAATCCTTAAACGTTTGGGGTTTAATGGCACAGGACATCCAGGAGCTTTACTGGGCTTAATCCTGCTTGAATTCGGATGGTTTAGTGGCTGTTCTTCATGTAGAAGAGCTGTGCCTCGCACACTGACCTTTGGATCCAAGCTCCATGGGGGCTGAGGTACCCTCCTGAGCCGCTAACACCTCTCTTTCTGCTTCTCTTTCAGACATCTTACACGGACAAGGGAGAAAAGGTAAGAGCCATTTTGTGTCCATGGTCCTGCCCTGCTGCCTGCTGAGAAATATCAGCTGTGTTAATGCAAATACTACTTGATTATCTGGTATAATCACAACTAAAACTCCTCTCTGGCTGCACCGCACAGGACGCGGTTCCTCATCGTAAACCAACATTAATAATTGGAACCTTTTCATTTCCTTTTTCTCTCTGGTTTGGGAGGCAGGTGACAAATGGGAGGCGATGGGTCCAGCCCCAGAGCCTAAGCAGGACCTTCATTGCTTACAACATTTATTTCCATTCACCACCTTTTCCCCCTACCAAACGCTTTCCACCCCACGGCTGCGTCCTGCAGTGGGTCAGTCGGTGATGGGGAGCAGAGCTCAGTGGTCCCAGTGCTGGGGTTGTGTAAAGGTGGTTTTGGGGTAATTAATGTTTAACAGCCGGGCTGGTGGCTCATGGGGAGCACCGGGGTGGCTGCGGTGCCAGAGCTGGGGCTTTGCAGCATCCACCCAGAGAGCAGTGTCCTGCGGGACTGGCTGTGAGGCACTTTGGAAGCTGCTGCTTCAGGGCAGGAGATGGGAATTCACCTGGTTTGCTGTGAGGGTGCTGAGGCGCTGGCACAGGGTCCCCAGAGAAGCTGTGGTTGCCCCATCCCTGGCAGTGTTCAAGGCCAGATTGGACATGGGGGCCTGGAGGAAGCTGCTCTAGTGGAAGGTGTCCCTGCCCGTGGCAGGGGGGTGGAACTGGATGAGCTTTAAGGTCCCTTCCAACCCAAACCAGGCTGGGGCTCTGTGATTCAGCTGTATTCACAGGAGATACATTTGCAGTCACAGCCGCTGCTTCTCCCTGGCCCGCAGATGAGCAGTGCTGCAGGAAGGGCCGTGCTGACATCTCTCAGCTCTGTTTTCCCTTTCCCTCTAGCCCCTGCGAGGCCGCTTCATCCATTTCCACTCCATCACCTTCTGGGTTGGCAACGCCAAGCAGGTGAGAGGCTTCCTGCGGCTGGGCATGGGGCAGGGGCAGACACTGGTTATTGGCTGCTGGGGGGGGCGTTGCATCCCAAAGCTGTCCCTGTCCCACCGGCACGGCCTCGGGCAGCGGCCTTGAGCCCCCTTGCGCAAGGCGAGGGGCGCTGCCGGGGGTGTGCACAGGGCCATGGCCACCGGGTTGCAGAGCAGTGAGGCCTCGTGGCAGCAGCTCTGTGTCACTCACTGCCAAAAGCCATCATTGAATTTAAACCCTTCTGCTTCAAACCTGAGCTGCTTTTCACCCAACCTCACAGGTGAACAGGACATAGGCAGGAACATTTTGATGTGGTGACAGTTCCCCACCTGCCAATGGTCATGCACACACCATAGTGGCTGTTCCCTGTGGGCTGTTGGTGATGCTCTGGTTTGGGGGGGTCACCAGTACTGATGTGGCTTCACCTGGGGGGGGGCTCTCACCTGCCCGCAGGCTGCATCCTATTACTGCAACAAGCTGGGGTTCGAGGAGTTGGCGTACCGCGGGCTGGAGACCGGCAGCAGGGAGGTGGTGTCACACGTCATCAAGCAGGACAAGGTAAAGGGCTGATGCCACTGCCAGGCTGGAAGTCAGGGGGCATGAGCTGCTGTTGGGCACGTGGGTGCTGCCAAAAGCCATCTGCACCATTAAGCCCTGCACCTGAGGTGCCTCTGCCCAAGGCTGGGGCTGCAGCTACGCTGCAAAGTCTCCATTGCTCACCTCTCTCTTCCTTGCCAGATCGTGTTTGTTCTCTCATCTGCTCTCAACCCAGGCAATGAGGGTAGGTGTCCTGTGGGGGGGGAAATGGCCATGGTGGAGTAAAGCAGCTCTGCTCATGGCCGTGGCTGCTCCTGCTTCGGGCAGAGATGGGTGAGCACCTGGTGAAGCACGGTGATGGGGTGAAGGACATCTCCTTCGAGGTGGAGGACTGCGACTTCATTGTGCAGGTAAGGCAGCCCCGCGGCTCCATCCCGCACCCTGAAACAGTGAGGAGAGGTGGGGAAGGGTCTGGGGATGTGTCCCCCCACCAGCCCATTCGAGCTGCAGCACAAGCTGTGTCTCTTCCTACACAGAAAGCCAAGGAGCGCGGTGCCACGGTGCTGAAGGAGCCCTGGGTGGAGGAGGACAAATTCGGGAGGGTGAAGTTTGCGGTGATCCAGACGGTGAGAGCAGGGAGCTGTGGGGCTGAGCCCACGCCAGAGCGGGGTCTGGGGAGCGGCCTGGACGCGGGAAGTCCCCAAAAAGGCCACAACCGCTTTCCCCCCTCTTGCAGTACGGTGACACCACCCACACCCTGATAGAAAAGCTCAACTACAAAGGCCTCTTCCTGCCCGGGTACCATGCGCCCCTCTTCAGGGACCCCCTGCTGCCAAAGCTGTGAGTGCTTCCCAGAAGGTTCTGCCCGGCTCTTTGTCACTGTGTGCCCATGGGATGCGCCACCAAGGAGCTGGAGGGGAACCCACTGTGCTGTGGTGTGCCCCCGAGCCCAGCTGAGGGTCACCCCTGGCTTCCCCCTGCAGACCCAGCGGCAAGCTCAACTTCATTGACCACGTTGTGGGGAACCAGCCCGACCTCCAGATGGTCCCGGTGGCAGATTGGTAAGAGTTGGGGGGAGCAGCAGCAGCACTCTGCTGGGCTCATGCTTAGGCTAATTAAACCAAAGCAGAGCTTTGTTAGTGTGGGGATGGAGCGAGGGACTTGATCGTGCCCTTTGTGGCCTGGGCAGGTACCAGAAGAACCTGCTCTTCCACCGCTTCTGGTCAGTGGATGACAAGCAGCTGCACACGGAGTTCAGCGCCCTGCGCTCCATCGTGGTCACCAACTATGAAGAGACCATTAAGATGCCCATCAATGAGCCGGCGTTTGGCAAGAAGAAATCCCAGATTCAGGTGAGTGGACGCTGGTGATTGATCCATCAAGGCTGCTACTGCCTGGAGTGGGGCTGTGATGAAAGCAAAGGGACCAAGGGGTCAGTGATTTGGAGCTGGTGCAGACTGGAAAGTAGCCCTCGCTCTGCTCAGGTCCCTGGGAGAACCACCAGGACAGAGCTGTTTTACCCCTGATCTCACCAACAGTGTCTTCATTTCATAGTGTCCTGAGCTGATTTTTCTGTCATGACTTCAGACCCCACTCAGCCTTTTGCATGCTGTAGCTGTGCTGCCACTAACACGGTGACATTTTCTCCCTGTAGGAATATGTTGATTACTACGGAGGGGCTGGAGTGCAGCACATCGCACTGAACACCTCCGACATCATCTCAGCAGTGAGTGCAGCCCCTGTCCAGTCCTGCTGGGCACAGACCTTGTCACAGGACTGCTGGGCTGAGCCACCACAGCACATCACCCACCTCTGCCTGGGGCACATGCTGCTCCAGATTGAGCCCAGCTACTGCTGAGCGCTTGGTTTTGGGCTCCTCTCCAGACCAAAGGGCCTCCAGAGGTTCTGGTGGGTCAGGGTGGGATGAAGCATCCTTACACGGTGGCAAACTCTCTGCGTTGCCTGGAGAGGGCATCTTGGGTCCTCCTGTTCCTGGTGCCCTAAGTGAGATCGTAGGACAAGTCCCCACACAAGGTTGGCCAAAGCCACGGGAAAGTGTCACTGCCTCCTGACACTGCCTGTCCCAGGCAATGCTCTTGACACAAACCTCTGCCACAAACCAGCCCCATGCCTGACCAACCCCAGGGTCTCCCCTGCCTTGCAGATCACCAACCTGAAGCAACGGGGTGTGCAGTTCATGGATGTCCCGTCCAGCTACTACCAGATGCTGCGGGAGAGGCTGAAAACTGCCAAAATCAAAGTGAAGGAGAACATCGACAAGCTGGCGGTGAGTGAAACCGGCCTGGGAGGGAAAAGGTTTGCCTGGGGCTAGGCCAGCTCCACGGAGCGTTTTGCAGGGATGAGGGTAACACAGAGGGATCCCCTTGCTCCTGTTTCTTTCCTCCAGGAACTGAAAATCCTGGTGGATTTTGATGAGAAAGGCTACTTGCTCCAGATCTTCACCAAACCGGTTCAAGACAGACCCACGGTCTTCCTGGAGGTCATCCAGCGGCACAACCACCAGGTCGGTGAGGACTGCACAAGGCTTTAAGACCTCAGGGCCATCACATACTATCACCCAGGCAGCTCTTGGTGCTGCTCTTTGCTGGCCACCTTGGAGATGAAGGACCTGCTGCCCATCCCCATGGTCTCTCATTGTTGCTGTCATCTCCACAGGGCTTCGGCGCTGGAAACTTCAAGTCTCTGTTTGAAGCCATCGAAATGGATCAAGATGCAAGAGGAAACCTGACTGTGCTGGAGCCCAACGGGGAAACCAGGCGCATCTAAGAGGGGGCAGGAAACAGCCTCAGCCCTCATGGGCTGAGTCACAAATGAACTGGGGAGCAGCCCCTGTTTTGGTAAATACCCCGTCCCAAGTGCCATGAACCCAGGGAAGCTGCTGCCAAGTTGGAAGTGCAGGACTCAACACCTACCCCAGCCCAGCTGAAGACCTGCAGCTATGGAGGAAGAGAGAAGAAATAACTGGGAGTGTTTAAATTTAGTGTAGCCAAGGTTTTCTGTTAGGTTTAGGACCGCGGGAAGGTGGGAGAGGAAAGCTCGGGGGCCTTGGCCTCTTGTGCATCCCATTTTGTGAGGTTTTAATTGCTTTTAGACTCAATCTTGAATTAGCTGAGATTAAACACACAGGTTTAGGATAGCTGCAACGTTCTGGAATGAGACTTTTATCTGATTTACCTATTTCAGCCTTCACAAGGAAACAGTCTTGGTCTAATACCTGTAAATTCCTGTGTTAATGAAGGGTTGGGTTTTCTCCCATGTTCCAAGAAGGAACTGCTGGCATCGGCACGGATTCCTTGGCTCAGATCCTGGTTGCACGTGCAAAGCTCCCTCTGTGCATCGCTCCGGTGTTGTCACTGTCCTTTGAAAGGGGACCTTCCCCAGTCACACGATTAAACCCTTTTCTGTCACAGCTTGAGTTCCTCATACCTCACACGTGTCAGGCTGGAGCCTCTACCCCGTGTTCACGTGGCTGCAGGTCAAGTGCTCCCTGAGGACCCCACAGACCTCAGCCCACAACTGCTGAAGAACATCTCAGGGTCTCCTAATGCTGCACATTTCCCTCCCCAGCCTCCCTGCTCCTGTTACCCAATATCGAAGCTGCTCAAGCCCTGAGTAGCCAAAGGCCCTGCCAAGCCCTTGGCTCAGGACAGGCTCCTTAGACCAGCTCCATCCAGCCACCCTCCAGGCTGAGCCCTGCTGCCTCCTGCCCCACACAGGTTGTCCTGCATCCGCATCCCTTCCAACACAGTGGCCAGTGAGAGAAACCAAGAACCAAGCTGGGAAGTCACCTACAACCCAAGTTCTCTCCTGTCTCTTTCACTCCCTCCTCCATCAGCCACAGCATTCACCTCTGCTCTGGGTGTCTTTTCTAAAGCTCAGGGAAGCCACTTTGGCCACCACCATGTTCACAGCAGCAACCCCCAGTGAGGGAGGGGGTCACATGGCAGCTCCAGGCTGTGCTTTCATTCACATCAGACCCCAGTGGCTGCCTCTCCTGCAAACCACAGGTAACAGGACTCACTTCAGGTGTGAATAAACTGATTTAAACCAACGGGCCTCTGACCCAAACCAGCTACACCAATGCCTGCTTGGTAGGTTAAGAGCTTTCTCCTCCATAAAGTTAAAACAGTGATTAAGAAAAGGTGAACTCAGAGAAATCCAGGGCAGAGGCTGCAGGAGCAAAGACCCCTCACGGGCCTGGGCTGCACCACTTAGGGCGGATGGAACAGGGACACCCAGCACCGTGGCAGGGGCTTCAGCTCTTAAGGGTTGTAAGAATGTTTAATACTAAGACAATTTTAAGTTTATAAACTGAAATCACTCACATATTTCTTTCATGCAGCAGAATGTTGCTCAAAGTAATCTGTCATTTCCTGCTCACCAGAATTGATACCTTCAGTTAACTTTGCTGATACTCAGCTCTTTGGACTGCTTTCTGGATCTGGTTCCTTTTGCTCACCCGGCTCCAGCATGGGTCTGAGAGCAAAGAGTCGCCCTGGCTGTACATTAAGCACAACATATTTTTTCTGTAAGAAAAGTCAGTATATTTATGGTTTCCTTTATAAAAGTTACTATAATACAATGGTACATAGTATTCAATTCACAAAAATATGAACAAATATATACAGCATGACACATCCACAACAAAAACACTTTCTTCAAAACAAGATACATACTGGTGACAGATTCTATATGCACAAAACATTCCTAAATTTATAAACTGGCTTAACAAAAGAAAAAGCAGAAATCCTAAATCTTCAAAGCAGAGTTGGGGTTTCTTTTCTTTGTTTTGTGTTAAAGGAACTTAAAAAGAACAAAAAGGATTTGATTTTCGTTTATTGCAAACCATTTGACTTACCTCCTTTTAAAGGAGGGCCCTTATTTTCACACTGTGAATTGAACCAACCGGACAACTGCAACGATTGGGAGCGGGGGTTGTTCTTTTCCACTTCGCTCTTACAACTGCCCGTTGGGTTTAGAGTGCCCGTTCCGCTGCGTTTCGTTCCGCTTGGACAAATACTACAGTGGCAATTAAGGAGGAAACTCAGGAAAACAAAACACAAATATTAACTTGAAAACAATCCAGTTGCAAACTCGCTTAAATACGCTTTTAGGTTGTCTATTAGACTGTACACATTTCCTCGCTTGAAATAAATAGATTTTGCACATTAGGTTTCAGACGGAGGGGAGGGCAAAGAAGAAGCCTTGACTTGGCAATTTTTTTGTCTTCAGTTTCTTAATGCTTCTAATTCCATCTATTTATTTGACAAAAAAACCCCGTATTTATACAGAATTTACATTATACAAAGCTTGACACAAGCTGTAAATGCCACCAGCTCCTTTGCTATACTGAAGTCCTTCTTCCTCCCCGTCTCCTCGACATGATTTAGAGCTGGGATCTGTTTAAAAAGAACTCCAAATTACAATAGTCACTTTTAATAAATTATTTACATGCTCTTGAAGTACAAAGAAATCAGCAAAAAAATTTTCAACATGTTTCTACAAGAAACAGTGTCTGAAGAGAAGATTCTTGACTTTGCCTATGTACAGAAGATGCTTTTTTTTTTCTTTTTGATACTTCAAAATCCTTTTTTTTCCTTAATTTTTTTTTATACAGAAATGCACTGAAATGATCCCTGAAAAAGGTCACAAAAACCGGAACTGAAAGTACTGTTTGTTGGAGTTTAAAAATGGTTTTGTTTTTCCTTGTAGAAATAAGCTGCTCTATACAATATAAATATCTGCAAGATGAGCCCCTTCCCCTGCTGGACCCCCCAACAGTCACAGACCACTTATTGGGACCACCCTGGAATTGCAAACGGGGGGGAGAACCGAATGGATAAATGAAGGTGTTGGGCAGCAGCAGGCGGGACCTGCAAGCACAGAGCTCACTTCCTAAGAACTCCAACCGTGGAGGCATCTGCACCCTGAACCCCAGCCAGCTTCACGCTGGGAAACTAAGGGTTTAAGTCCTAATTCCAAAGCTTTTGCACTGTTCTCTTGGGTCATTTCACCTGGGGAGACAGAAATCTGCAGGGAGCATAAGGTCAGGTCTATTTTTGGCCTTAGGTTTCAATTCAGGTGAAAATAAACTGGGGACAGGCTTTCCAGCAACCAAAACAATCCGTAGATCTCTCTGTAAAGCAGCACATGCTGGTGAGGTTTCTTTTTAGTCCTTGCCACTATTTCCATGGGGTGCCTGTGCTGACTACGGAGGCGAATGCTGGGTCTGATCCAGGCTGGGGTGTGAATCGCACACCTACTGCCTTCCCCTCATCTCACCCCAGGAGATGGGTCCAGGAGGGATTAGAGAGGTATCTCTATGGGGCTGCCTTCCAAAACCACGTCCGTGGCTGCAGGGCTCCCGTGTCCTGATGAGACCCCACCAGCGTGCCAGGACAGGGCAGCCACAGGCAACTGCAGCAGCTCATGGAAATCACTAAACCACACACAGAATCCTCACTGTAAGATAATTTGGTTTGGGAATGGGGCAGTTTCGGAGTCTGAGACAAGAGCTGCACAGGTAGGACTCTGCAAGCCAAGATTTATGGGGGAGAAAAGCCTCACGTTTGGCTTTGAGACCAGACTAACGTGATTTTTCAGAAGTCCAACAGCTCTGTTTCCTACTGGGAAACTACTGGGAGCTCGGCTCTTCCGAAAACTCATGTTGTTTGTCTGGGATCCTAAAACCAGATGGGTTACAGGCAATTTTAGAAGTACCCAAGTGATTTAGGTACCCAAATCCTTTTGGCACTCCTAAAAACGCAGTGAAGAACCCCAACCTGCAGGTCTTGTTTCAGAAAACCACGACCTGCCTCCTTCCCACCTCTCCGCAACAAAGATTAAGGCAAACCACAGGGGCTAATCCCATCCAGAGCACACTGATATGCTGGGAAATGCAACACTGTCAATGGGTACTTAGGGGCTGAGACATTTGGGGTGTCTTTGCCCCCACAAAACCACCGTTAATACACTGGTCTGATGGACCAGAGAGGAAGAAGGCCAAGGACACCGGCAGAACTGCCACACACAGGGGCTTCAGTTCTGAGAAACAGGAAACTTCTGTGCATTTCCAAAGCTTTGAAAGTAAAAGGCCAAGCTGCAGAGCTGCCAGCTGGAGCATCAACACAAGATGAACCTGACTTAACCAAAGAATACAACAAAACTGAGCAGCAGGTTTAGCTCCCAAATGCTCCTGCCATCGCTGCAGTTACAACCAATGTTCAGTGACAGAAACTAGTTGTGCTTCTGATCGTTTTAGGTTCTGGGTCACTGTTACCCAACTGCTGGAGAGGTTTATAAAGTTGGGGTGGGAGGGGGAAACAACAAACCAAACCAAAACCAAGAGATGAGACACTACGGGCTCTCCAATCTCAACAACAATCTCCTCACCTCAGACAGAAATACAGGCAGTATTAAGGCAGCTCGTAGCAGTCTGTGTGTTCCTATTCTTTCTGGCTTTTTGTCTGAAGAAGTGCAGTGTGGGCCTGGCAGCTCCATGTAACAGCTGGAAAACCTCCCAGGAAACTCTTTTGCAAGGCGGTAACCTCTGATGGTGAAGTTGTGGCGACACAGCAATTATCCCTGATTTTGAAAGGCTACAAGAACACAGCTGTGCAATTTGTTCTGTTGGGGAGAAGATGTTTTGTTACACAGATCATCTTCCCATTTCATAATGATATTGCAACCTCCCCTTAGAAGCCAATTGAAAAGGTTTTAGTACAACTAATCTCTACTTTTAAAGCAGGAGAAGTTCAATGCAAGTTGAAAAAGTGATCCTGTCTATACCTGAATGGTCATGTAACACTTCCAGATCAAATCCAAAGAAGTATTTCTTTGGTACTTTGCCCCATTTTTAAATGGAACCTCTCAAAGAGCTGCAGCCTTCACCTCAGCACATCTACAAGGACAAAATATATCAAAAACTCGTTTCAAAACATGCCTTCCCAATTTAAAGAAGCATTCATTTTCATGCTGTAGATGGGGGAGGACAGGATTGCTCCCAGGGACACTTTTACTATGTTCTTATTGGAGAGATAGGACCACCGCAGGCCAAGTTACTGAGTAACAGAGGGAGGAGACCAGTGCCATGCAGCCTGTTCCTATCACAGGAGGCATTTCCCATATTCAAGGACAGAGCAAATACTCCACGTACAAGCTGAAAGGGCAGGGAAATGCAGACAAAAATGAGAGAAAATTAATACAAGACACAGATCAGCCTGTTTCCCATCTATAGGAAGGAAATTCTATCAAAAATGTGGGCCATAGTTATGCTTCCAAGGAGGGTAAGATCCCTAGAGTGCAAACATGGGCTGAATTGTCCACTTAATCTCAGCTTCAGCCTTTTTTTTGCATGCAAGACAAACCAGCCTCCAAGAAACAGGCATCCCCAAAGGCCACACACCATGCCACAATGCTACAGCGACACAACCGACTTGACTCCTTACTAGTCATTGTGGTATCCACGTATTTTTTCACGTGCAGGTGCAGAGGTTTTGATCCCCCAATATACCAGCATGTTATATGAAAACTAAGAGACAAGCCCAAGGTGTTGAGGTCTGCAGCTGACCTGGCTCCTCCCCAGGTGTCTGGCTTAGGGGGACTTGTTCAGGCTCATCCCTAACAAAAAGGCAGGACAGTTCACCTGGAGTCTGGTTGCAGACACGTCTCCGTACATACACACACCCGCTCACACACACACGCAGCCCCATTCACACCCCCTCAAGCCTCTGGCTTGCTCTGTAACATCAACCTTACATTTATTTACAGCTTACTCTGAGAAATCTGTGCAATTTCAGCCAATCAAGCTCCCAACAAACCCTATATGGCATTTTCAGTCTCTGCTTCACATTTAAACGTTGAATGTCTTTTTCAACCAACAGAACTGATGAGAAAAAGGTAGCAGCATTGATGAAAAGATGAAGGTTTAGAACAACAATTGAAAAAAAAAAGAAAAAGGTACCATTATTCCATTCTGGAGCATTACTGTAGGGACTGAACAGAGAAGCTAGTGTTTGGATAGACCATGCCACAAAATGGTTATCACCTTTTTGTGTGCGCGTAGGATCTGAAAAGGAAAGAGCACCTGAAACATGAACAGTCCTCGTAAGCGTGTGCGCTTTTGCTGTCATTCATGATCCTGGCAGAAGTGCGAAACTTGGGGTTTTTCTTCTCTTTTTTTCCTCTCTTTTTTTTAATTTTTTTTTCCTTTTTAATTTTTTGTTCCTTTTTTTACTGTTTTTTTGTTTTGTTTTTCCTTTTATTTGGCAAAGTGCAACCACACCTGGTTACCACAGTTTTGACATGGCCGAAGGTGCAAGTGTGACGAGAAACCTTGAGTTCAGTTCAGGGTTCCCCTGCAGTTCTCAGAGCCACAGAGACATGGGATTTTTACATCCTCAATTGGAAACTTGTAGTCATAGGTAATTTCCTCATTCACATTGATGTGCTGTTTGGAGTAGATGACAATCTTCTTTTGAGACTCCACCGTGATCACTTTAGCATAGCAATTTGGCTGCAAGGGTGATAGAACAGGTAATGATTTAGGTTCCTGATGGCCGTAGCTTCCCAGCCTCCACAATTATTCCAAGCTAAAATAAAATAGGGAAGTCCTTTCCTTATATAGCCTCAGTCATGTTTCCAGACTGCAGACCCAGGGAAAGCTGAGAGGAAGGCATGAAGCCAGGAAATAGAGCTCCCCCAAAATGCCATATTCTGGTTATCTGTGGTGCAGAAGAGCCTGGATGGTGCTCCACCAAGTTTGTCACAGGCTGAGAGCAGCTCAACCAATGCTTAATCATTTGCTCAGGCAGCCAAGCCTTTGAGCGTAGACTGCAATACAGAGCAGACAAGAAAGCAGCTTCTCTAACTGCCAGGGCAGAAAACATTTTTCCAGTTTGGACACTAGAAGGAGACTGCTCCCACTGAATAACAATGCTAAAAGTCAGTCTAAAGAAGTATTTGTTAGAGAGGTCTGAACAGTGTCCATCAGGGTCTCCCAACAGAGTCAGGAGGATCCTGAGTGCTCTTTGTCTTGCTGCGTGTTTTATTTCTTGCGTCTCATAAATCTCTTTACGCTGATTTAGACTCTGCTTTGATTTGCTGCAGCTCACTGACATTTAATCACAACCCTGTGACCCCCTGCTACTTCTGAACATGGCCCCAATCAAAGTCAGCAAGGACTCGATGGGTTTCTCAGGATGGCAGAGCACAGCTCCATGCAAACCCCTGGTACTTACATTGCAGCTGTGATTAATGAACCTGGCGAAGTTTCCGCACTTCGTGGCATCGATGATGGTGTCATGATCCACTCGGAACATGTAACTGCTCCCGATGCCTTCATCCTCGTATCGCTTTTCACGCATGTCAGCAATGACCTAAAGAAAACCCCATGGGTCAGGACATGGTGCAGAAGCGATCCATGAGCAGAGACCTATACAACGCTGTGCTTGTGTCACTCTACAGATATATAACCCCAAATGCCTCAAGAACACAAACCTCACTGAAAACAGAAGCGCTCCTCAGGATCTGAGTGCTTAGTTTTTACGGGTTGCTGAAAATCCCACCTTTGTACCTCCAAGCCACATGCCAGCCTCTGCCTACGTGACGCAGCTAGTGCCTTAGAGCAGGGACTCCAACCCTTGCTGTCATACTCAAGTGCTTCTCCCAGGGCTGGTTTTTGCTCAGGCTTCACCCACAGTCCAGCTTACCTGCCTGATGTTCTGACCCACGTATTCAATCACCATCTCATCAGCTGCAATGGGCTCCATAGCAAAAAGGCCCCAGTCATGGATGTGGCTCTTACAGAATTTTAGCTTTTTCTTCCGGAACTGCATGAAGAAAATACCCCAAAACCCAAACCCCGAGTTAGGCACAGCACAGAAAGGGAAAGGCTGTCCCGAGGTCCAGCATCTGCAGCACAAGCAGCACTAGGGTACTTCAACCTGATTTTAGTTTCCTTCTATCTCGTGGTGACAGGAAGGCAGGACAGATGTCATGGGAGGTCCCACGAAGTTGCACTTCTTGAGGTTTTTTTTAGCACCAACCACACTATGGGGAGAGCAGACCCTTTGAGGCCATCGGTCTCAGTTCTGCATAATCCTGATTGCTCAAGCTCTGTAATCACTATATACTCATTTATAGCCATAATCTCTGCTTCTCATTAGTAAGTATACTGTACTAAGTGTCATGTTTTCTCTGTAACTGCTCTGTCCCCGTTTCTTTAGGTGAATTATTTGTGTTGCACATTATATTAAGTTGTATTGTTGTACCAAGTTGTATTACATCAAATACAGGAATGCCAGATACCAGTCACACAGAGCAGTGCCCAATGCTGAGATGGGCATCACTGAGGTGAGACAACCTGACAGGAGATCCCCTGCCCCGGCCTCAGCCTACTCCCAACCAGACCCTGCCCAAAGGAGCAATCCATGGCTGACCTACCTTGAGCTGGTTGAACTTGAGCAGGTCACTGTCACAGCTACCAGTGAAGGAGGAGAGGAGCCTGCGCTGCTCTGACCGCCTCTCGGAGCCAGCCCGGGTAGAAGCATGAGGTTGGGCAGGGATGCTCATACCCTGAGAGGACAAACAGGGTGATCAAAGCTGCTCCACAGACCCAACACCCTGCAGCCTCCCTGTGAGCAATCCTTTGCGCTACAACACACCACTGCAGAATGTGTGGCCTCCTAAAACATCCCACATCAAACACTAACACCTCCCCAGCAGCTCCTGGATGACCGACTTGACACAGGCGTAGCAACAGCTTCACCTTCCTCCTTGCCAAAAGGCAGGAAGCATCCACTGTGAGTGACACCGTATAAAACCAAATCCCATTTGCACCTTGGCAGACAGCACAGGACACGTTCTCACCTGTGTGTCAGCTGGAGGCTCCTCTGCGAAAGCTCGGCTATTGTTGAGGTATTTGAGTTTGTCCTTCTTATCAATTTTGTAATAGCCTTCACTTCGTGCACAGCCCGTGACGTGCTCCCGCATCCCATCATCCCGCTTCTTTTTCTTGGGGGTAGAAAAGCTAGTAGGTGGGAAGAAGTTAAGGAGAAACACAGCCAGCAGTGGACATCAGGCAAAACTTGCTACAGATACATAGAGCTAACGCCGGGAGCTTGGGAAACTAGGAAGGTTTGGGGAGGGTTGCAAAACAACCCCAATCCCATTGGAAAGTCACAATCATCACTGAAGCCCACATGCCCACAGGCTAACCAAGAACGGTCTTTCCTCCTTAGCTGCATGATTTGGGAAGCTAAAGCAAAGAGATAATGAAAATTTAAACTCAAAAAGGTTAAGCTGTCAAGAGAAACCTGTTTGAGAAAGGATTTCCCCACAGCACCCATTATGTACACAGACAGCAGCTGCCCAGCCATCTGGATGTACCATCTTCTCTGCTCTGAGTGGCATGCTTTTGTTCTACCTCCAGAAACTCCTTGCAGCCACCCCAAGCCCTGAAGACGCTTCACTGATCTCACAGCAGCAATCACCCCCACTGACTAAGATCAGATGCTCCTCAGCCGAAAGGGCAGGCAGAGAGATGATGCTCTCACCAGCCTTAGTACATCAGCTCCTTCAGACCAGTTGGGAAGGGTAAGCCCCTGAGCAGATGTTTCAAACCCCACTGACCTGATCAGTGAAGGAAACCTGCACCTGGCCTGGCAAAGAGCCACTGCACTGAGCAGGCAGAAGGTCTTTGGCTTCTGGAAGGACAGTGCCGGCTAACCCCAAAACACAGCCATGAACCCTAGGACAAGTGAGTTCTACACAAAAAATGCTCCCTGTGAGTCCTAACATACCCTGAACACCAGAAAACTGGAGCTGGGGCAGACACAGACTGAGAATTACCAGGGATGACATTTTTCATCATCCTTTAAAAGTATTTCCTTTAAATGATTAAATAAATCTGTTTCAAAGCTATTGCATTGGTAGAAAGAAAATTACAAATTTAATCTTTCATGTTGCCCTTTTGAGAGGCTTTTTAGTGCTAGCATCATATCACTGACTCTTCTGAGTGGTTTGGGCTTTTCATAGAATCACAGTCAGGTAGTCTGGAAAAGACCTTTAAGATCAAGTCTTGTCCCTTGCAGGGGGTAAGGGATGAGATATTTAAACTCCACACAATCTCCAGCAACACACAAGGTGGTGCATTTGTCTTCTTTAACATATAAACCTGTATATCCTTCCTAAAAACATTACTGGATTCCTAGATCATAAACATTACTAGTTCCTAGATTACAGGAACAGCCTTTTAGGCACTGGACATCTCTCCTGGTGGCTGTACATGTGCAGAACCTTGTTCTGAGACAGCTTTTGTGTCCCAGAAATGCTCCCAAAGATTCAAAGCTACAGCCTATGCTGCTGATCACCAGATGATGGCCAGGGAGGGAGCGGATGGGGCCAGATCCTGCCTCATTAGCACCAACCAGGGCCCCACATACTTGCTGCAGGAGCCCCAGTACATTCCCCACCTAGCCCAGGGCTGTGTTTGTCCCTGATGTGCTGCTGAGAAACCAGTGCTCTTATTAGTATTTCAAACTCAAAGAGTTAAAGCTGCTGATACCACAGCTCATCATTTTGGGCACAGATGGTGAGATTATTTTTACAGCAAGTTTTAGCCCCAGGTTAAAGCCCTGTATGTGCAGACTCGAAATTCCACAGGCAAGCTGAAAAAGAAAGTCTGGTTTAAATGCAGACAGAAGCTTCTCAAACTAGCAAGGAAGCCTCCCCAGAAGAGGGGCATACAGATTTTCCCTGCAGTCCTAGACTGAAATGCAGCAGGAACAGCCATTTCTGCAGTATTTTTGTATTGCAGCTTCAGGGAATAAAGCAGTCTAGAATTCCCTGCTGATGCAAGCAATTCCTGTTTGAGTAAGCAAATGCTCTTTTCCACCAGACTTAAGTTTTTTGCATTGTAAGGCCTACACAGTGACCCTCTAGTGCACGTTACACGTGCTGTGTAATGCAGAGCACCAGTGAGAAAGGATATAAGGATGGAATACCCACAGGGTGTCATTGAGCCAGTCCATACCATTGTCCTGCTGTAACAAGCGGTCATATGTGATACACATGAATTTGATATCTTCCTCATCTATGCCTCCGTTCCAAATATCATACAAAATGGTCATCTCCTCAAACTCGGAGCGTGGCCTGAACTGAGGCCGGGGTGGGGAATACTCAGGGGAAGGAATCGCTGGGAGGTGCTCAGGTGACTTCTTCTGCCTTCGCCACTGTCTTTTAGGTTTCGCATGAGCTTCTTCCTCCTTGAAGTCTTCATTCCACTGGTTCTCCAGTTCCTTAAATGGCAGTTTCTCTGCAACTGTCTCAGCTGCAATTTTCTCATGGAAACCGTCATTCCTGAAGTCCAGGGTGACAGCTTCAGGGTCTTTTAGTCCATAGAAAGCATCAGGATGTCCACTCAGCAGCTCTTTGCCCACAGCACTTTCCACCAAGGCCACTGGCATAGGAGGAGGTTCTATGGTTTTGCCCGAGTACATATCCAGTGAGAGGACAGAAGGTGGTGACCGTTTTGGTCGGCCTGGCCTCCTTTTGGGAAGGACAGAAGGAGGTGGTGGGGGAGGAAGAACAGAAGCACCAGGGGGTACTTCTGACGAGAGCAAAACAGATTTTACTTCTGCCTTGCATTCCTCAATGGGCATTCTTCCATCTCCATGCATGCATGGCAGGACTGCTACAGGTATTGGCTCATCAGGTGGCAAACCCATGTCCATGTGGAAATCTGCTTGTGGGGGGCTGGCGAAGGGAATAGGGGAAGGAACACTGTTCATGCTGATCGTAAGGGAAGCACCAAGAGGCTCTTTAAAGGGTTTCTCATCGACGTCATCCTCTGACTGTTTCTTGCCAGACAGAAAGCAAGAAATGGTAGCACCAGCCTCTGGGAAAGTAGGCGTGAAACTGAAATCTCTCCCAGGAGTCCGAGGAATGCCACTGTTGATGCCAGGAGATTGGGATGGGTAGGAAAAGGGGCTCCCTGGGACTTGAGGGGAACTGAGGGTCAAACTGCTTCCTGTAAGGGGAGCATCGCTTCCTGGCGTGGCTGGAACAGTGTCCGTGCTCTGCGACTTCGCAAAGGGGTGTGAAGACTTGACCAAAATGTCCCGCCCAGGAGTCCTTGGAATCTCCTCTTCTATGGACGTTTTGGTCACCATTAAGTGTTCAGGGAACTTTTCTGGAGGGACTAAAGGTTCTTCCTTACCAGGAGTGGATGGTAAGGGAAGCATGGAGGATGGCACTTTGTGGGCTGGAAGCAAAAGAGCATCAGTCTCTGAATGCATCATCACCTCCAGTCCAGGCGTGCGAGGCAGCCGGTCGTCTTCCTCCGTTGCAGAGGGCAGTTTTGTTTTAACATGAGCTTCTAAGCTGCTGTCCTCAGACTTGCTAAAGAAGCTGCTTTTATTCGGCAGAGGTTCTCCAAAGACTCCCACTGGAGCTGAGAGACAGAGCACCGCCTCCTCATCTTGAGAGTCAGGCTTTGGACCTTCCTGTACCTCTGGCTCCAGCATGGTAGCAGGTTCGGACTCTTCCTCTAAAAGGGGGAAAAGAAAAGAGAATTAGGAGCTTTGCTTCAATTCAGTTTCTCGCCACTTGCCAGTAAAGGCATGTTTAAGACGCCACAATTATGGAACAGCTCAATTCCACTGGGAGGCTTTAAGAACTCCCATTGCTTTACCTTTTGGAGGCACAGAGTGTGGAGTAATTAGACGCTACCACAGTCATTCCTAATGGACCATAAAAACCCCACACTATTAATTTGAGGATTAACTACAACACAGGCCAGAACGAAGGTTTTCTCCTTTCAAAACCCCTGCCCACCTTTTGTACAGACATAAAAAGATTTAGTGGATTGCGGGCTGAGGACTTTGGAGAAGAGCTGTCAGAGCCTCAAGCTATCAGCTTTTCTAATGTGGGAAAGAAAACTAATTGCAAGGCCATGAAGAACCCTGAGCTCTCCAAGGAGGGAGCAGTGAAGGGAGGAGCATAACACTCTTGAACAACACATGAAGGGAATGGGAAGCCCTTGTAATGAATGAGGAGACACTCAGATGGTATCAATGAGGCAATTTATATGCTGCTCTCTCTGCAGCAGGCTCATTTGTCTGGAGTTTATTTACCCACTTAGGGCCAGGTCCAAAAGGAATCAACAGTGAATCTTGTTAGGCAGCTCAAAATAACACTTTCAAGTGGGAGAGCAAAAGGAGGTGAAAATGCCTGGATAGTTGGAAGAGAAGTGTTCCCCATTTGTGCTGAACAAACCACAGAAGGGTCCAGTCCCTGTAACTCCTGTACAATCAGGACGGGCTGCACCAGAAGAATACTGTAGTTAGAGCTTGTTCTCACAGTGTCCCTGTAAAGCTCATTCCACAAGAGCTGGTGCCCAAATGCAGGTCTCCCCAACTATATGTCCTTTCTGCACACTGATCTGTTCCAGAGAGGATCTGTGCAAGAAGGTTCTCTGCCCTGCCCAGTTCAGCATTTTGCCTCTTCAGGGCTTTCAGATTTTAGGGCAGTCAAGGAGTGACAGCCTGTGCAGGGACTGGATTTCCAGCTCTCCAAGAGGCAAAGTACTGCCCCAGCAGTCCTCAGCCACCAGTCCTGCCAAGGCTCACGCTGAAGGCCACACTCCATGTGCTCTCCCTGTCGGCCCCACCGTCTCACTTTTAATTCCCCCACAGCTGCAGAATTTGACAAACTTTATGCATCTCACTCCTGTTCTAATTTCTGTAGGTTAAATACAACTCTGTACTGAATGCAGACAACTTCCTTCTCCCAGGAAGTCAGAGAGTATCACTTGAAAGGACTAAGTAAAAAAAACACGAACACCAATAATAGTATTAGGAACCAGATACAACACTGAGACCCCACTCACCTGCCCCATATAGCTCCTCAGTCACACACTGCCTCAGTATTAAACACAAAAAGAGCCAGTAGTGGCTCATTAAGCACAGATTCCTGCTCTGTTTTAGCAGCCACGGCTTCTCTATCTTGAGCTTCAGCCACCACAACATCCGATCAGTCACCCTCAAATGTTGACAACTGTTCAGTTCCTGTAGGACAGTAACTAAACTGGCTTAGGGTAAGATTCTGGATACAATAACCGCAGTATTTTTAGTAGCTGATGACTCATGTAACACTCCTTACTAGGAAGGAAAGTTCAGCACAGACCTGTTTCCCTGTAGAGATAACCCCTAGCCTAGAGCTAAGGCTGGAGGAAGAGAAAGGAAATACAAACCCATACATATTTGATGCTGTGAGAATACTGTACTTGGAAATGTGTACAACAAACACCAAACTACATGAAAAGACATACCTGGCCTACAGATGGGAGACAGAGCAAGTTTTGTCTCCTGGTCTCTTTCCATAACCAAGTGTTTCAGTGTTTCAGCAGCAATAGATGCCTCTGGGACTTCACCACATTCACCTTCCCCAGCTTTGATTTCTTCCATGCCTTCATCTTTCACTGCCAAAGCTGGCTCTGCGAGTCCCAAGCCTGTTGCGTCCATGTAGTCATCCACAGGATACAGCTCCAAAATAGTCTCCCTCTCATCATCGGGAAGCTCATGACTAGCAGGTTCATGCTCCGTCTCAGCAACCATGGCTTCTCTGTCTTGATCTTCAGCCACCTCTTCTTCCTCTTCCTCCTCCTCTTCATCTTCATCATCCTCATCTTCATCATCTGAGTCTGAACTTGACTCAAATTCAGAGGAGTCCTCGCTTTCATCGGATGATTCAACTTCAGCCTTGGAAGATGAGGGACTTGCTACATCTACAACAAGAACAAATCCCCATTAGTTCAGCTTTCCGACATCATTAAACAATCAGGGTCTACTACAGGAGTAAATATCACTTCCACACTATAACAGCGTGGAAGCAGCATCAGGAACAGCATGTGGGTTTGAAGGACTCCCCAGTTTATTTAGTTTTGCAGAGACTTACAAACTGTGTATCTGGAGGCTCACAACAATCGCTATACAACAGGCAGCTTCATCAGCTGCAAAGGCAGTGCTGCCTGGCACCTTGTTCACATGCGTCTCTTGGTGGGTTGCATCTTTACTGGAGTTGTACTAAGCTTTTCTGCTGCCTTCACGCACAGCTTTAAAATGTGGGACCTACCATCTCCCAGAGCAGAGCTTAGAGGACAGAAAACTATTAGCAGCTGAATTACCCTGTTTGGAGTCTGGTCCCTTCTCCTCCCAGTCACACATGGTTCGTAAAGCAAACTCATCTGGCTTTGAGGTCTCTGCCCCTCTGTCAAGTTGGGCTGAGGGTGGAGAGCTATTGCAAAGGGACCCACAGACTGAGGGATCATGGAAGCCTCACAGGCAGCAACTAAAAGGACCTTTATACATTATCTTGTGGAAAATCACCCTTCAGTGAAGGAAGGTGCACAAATAAAAACAATCAGCTCACAAATGCAAAGGGAAAAACCACACGTGACCCAAAGGCTATGCCTGCTCCTTCCACTGGAACCACTTACCCTCCTCAGAGTCCTGCTCCTCCTCCTTGTCACTTGTGTCTACGCCTGTCTCCTCCTCCTCCTCATCTTCATCCTCATCCTCATCTCCATCATCATCTTCATCCTCATCATCATCTTCATCCTCCTCGTCATCCTCCTCTTCCTCCTTTGCAAGAAAGCATTGCCAAAAAATGAACAGTGTCTGACTGAGACCTGGCTGTCACTGTAATAACCACCAGTGACTCTCATGGATGCTGATTAGAGAATCTGAAGAGTGAATAACCTCACTGAGGTTCCCTCAGCACAGACCCTAGTGGGTAAGAAGGTAACTCTGGCATCTGGAACTACCAACCCCCTTTTAATAACAGACAGCATTCAGAACTGCAATCGCAAATGAACACACCTTGCCAGGTGCTGCTTTCACCAAGCTTCCCTCTTCTTCCTGCTCCTCCTCCTTCTCTGAAGAGGACTCTTCCTCTTTCTCTGATGTCTCATCTCCCTCTTCTCCCTCGCTGTCAAGCTCCAGTGGCCTTGCTGGTCGCCGTCTCAGCCCCACTGCTTCTGCATCCTTCTTTGACAGGTCAGATGTTGTATCAGAAGCATCCCTGTCCCTCTCCGACTCTGATGAGCAAAAACAAGAGGGAATTGCCATCAAATACCTTGTAAGGTAGGAAAAGTGTTGACTACATAACAGAAATCTGTTACTTGGGAAGATCAAAGCTAGGAGCAATGTCCCCATGTGCTGTGTGAGTCCTCAAGTGTACAAAGGCTTACTGATTTCAGCATGAGGGCAAGACTGGGTACAGGGCATTGAAATGCCAAGGATGGCAAAATACAGGTGGCCAAAGCTGACAAGCAACAGGCAGAGTGCAGTGAGGAGACATGGCATGACTGAGGTCAGACAAGTAAGCCAAACTTACTGCCTTTTTGTATTAAGTGCTTTACAAAACCCTCTTTCTGTACTTTGGCTTCAAAACCAGTTGTTAGTCTGAACTGACCTTATGGCACAAGTAACTTGAATCTACTTTTTAATGCAAACCAAATGGTATTCAAAAGCTTTGTTTTATCCCTAACCTGCAAAACATGTTAAAATATTTTCAAATAGATTTTTCTGGCAAATAACTTTGATTTGCTCCTAGAATCAAACACAGGGCAAACCGTCGCGTGTGCTTTCTCCATGAACTCACCTGAGCTCCCTCTACTGGGTGACCAGCTCTGCATCACCAGAACTAAACTAGGTTATGAGTTACTTATACAATGCAGGGCTTAAATTTCCCACCCGTGCATTTAAGATAACTGAATCCAGAGGAGACAGCGCCCAGCTGATGAGAGGTCTGTGAGAAGCAGGGGTCTGGCTCAGATCCTTCACTCTGTGTCTAACTGTAAGTGAGCACACTGCTGTGAAGTTTAAAAGCATTCAGCTTGCATGTGGTTTGCATCTGCTCTCGTGTTTTAAACAAATGTGCTTTGCAAACCTTCATCTTCATCATCCACTGAAGTGGAAGGCCGGATTCTCTTCTGATCTCCTGCTGAGGCAGCTTCAGGTGGCTCCTTTCTTTTCACCTGAACAAAAGACACAATTAGCATTTCTAAAAGTTTAGGAACAGCAGAAATCAACTTCTTAAGCAAACTGCTACTGCTTTACTTTGCAGTGGTGACTTACACCAGAAACCAAGGGACACTTCTCTAGCTCTTGATCCCTTTATTCGCTTCCAAACAGAATTTCACTGTGAATGAAATTCTACCCCCTCAATTTGCATCAAAACACTCTGGGTACCAGCACGGTGCATGTCATCACCACACACTTTGAAGATGACAGAGAAAACTCTCCACAAATCCATTTGTCTGAGATGCAGCAGAACAGAAAAAGAACCTAAGCCTATGGCATCTTAAGGAAGCTCAAAGCAAGTTTTATTCTAAATAAAGGCTGCAGAATCCCTCAGCCCAAACCTTCACTTGCACTTTCTATGCATTCAGAAGCCTATCTCCAGGGAAGGCCGCTACCCTCCTCTAACCCACACTTTGTTTAAGATGCTTTTCATTGTTTATGCAAATGCTCTGCGACCCTGTGCTTGCAGGTCTGATTCTGTGAACTACATGGGCAGAGAACACCTTTAACCAAACTTCAGGTGAGATTCAGCTGCCAAACTGCAGAACATTCTAAGCAAATAGGTAACTGTGTAAAGCACCACAAGCAGAAGCATATTTTGCAATCATGCTGAAATGCTGTGTCCTAAACACAGCCAAATGCCTCATTTACACTGGGGAGCAGGGAGATCCTTTACAGACAATGCACACAAGTGGTAGATGCAAAGATAAGGCTGGAAGGGAATACTAGCATAATGAAGACAGATCTTTGCTTTTACCTTGAAGGACGGCAGCCGGATGGCCCCTCGTAGCCCAATGCCCAAGCCAATTCCCTCATATCCCAGGCCTTCTCCTTTGTTCCAGTTCTCCAAAAGACAAGATGCAATTCGATCCTTCGGCTTTGGTTTTTCCTCCAGTTCTCCTCCAGACTTCACTGGAGTGAGAGACGCCTGCAACAGAGAAAGCACACTCAAGTAGAAAATGCCCTGGGTAGCACACAAACTCTGAAAACCATCTATGTTGAGGATTGTGAAATGTCACTGCCTCGCCCTGCTATCAGTTTCTCTGAAGGCAAGGGCAGCTGAACATGCACTACGTGGCCACACACACTTGAAAGGGAGAAGGTGCAAGAGCTCTTCTTGATAACAAGACCTTTCCATTTCTGAGAAGCCTCCTCCCCTTTGCATTTTAAGAAGTTATTTGCTCTGCACAAAGTACTAAAATTGATTAAGGCAAAACTGCTGGGGTTCCCAGAACAGCTGCTTAGCATGGGACACTAAGTGATCTTGCATTTGGAGCCACCACACTGGCAAAGAGCAGACACTCCTGCTTTCTCCACTGAGTGTTTTAAGAAACAATCTCCATTTACTTCACATGCAACTTAACATAGGCTAGAGTCCTTCACAAGAAAGAACAAGGGAAATGAACAGACCCATTAGCCCCCATGGCTCATTTCAGGTCTCTCAAGTGTCTGGTGTGGAGACCACAATGACCACTTTCTCAACAGCCAGAATCCAATGCTGGAAGCAAAGGCCATTAAAAGGAAAGATGAAAGGGGAAGAAAAGGTGCAAACATCAACCCAGAACTCAGCCCAAGGGAACACATTCCTCCCCCCAGGCATGAACTACCGTGTACCAAAAAAGCAGCTACTGTACAAAGATCCTAAACTCTGAAGGGAAGCTTAGGAGCTGGGATATACCAGTATTCCCAAATGCTGTAGGAGCCCATCTGGTCTGGTCACAGCTATGTGAGAAACAGAGCTATACATATACCTCTTGCAAATAACCAGCTTTAGGCAAATCAGCCTAACACTGGATTATCTACCTTCACTTGCTAACCCACATAGCTGAAAGCAACTTCAGACATTCTAGTTGGGAAGACCTTTCTTCTTTTCAGCACTAGACACAATATAGCGAGTCAGAAATCACACCCATCACTGTGTTCACTTGGCAACCACAGCACAAGTCCACAGAGATTGTCAGAAGGCTCCAGTCCTGAGGAACAGGAAAATCATCTCTGCTCAGCCACATCAAACCCCTTTTCACCTGACCTGAGGTGTGAAGGAAGAGCAGGAATTCAAACCTCTGCAGCTGTGAAGAGGCAGATGAGGTGGGGAGAGCACGATGCCCGGTGGCATGCCATGCTCTCCTTGAGCAAAGGGTACCGGCGGGAACGTTCACTCCCATCAGCCAGTGGCATAAGAACATCTAAAAGTCAGTTTAACAGACATTAACAGAGCTCATCTGCCAAAGCTGGCTGTAATCACCAGAGAAGAAGCATGAGCTCAGCTCTCCTGCTAATAAGGGACAAGACTAGTGGGAATATCAAGAATCCAAACAGCAACACTCCATGCCAGAGATGGCAGGTTATTCCTGGCACTCTGCTTAATGCATTTTATCCAGGCTTTAAACTTAAACCCATCACTAGATTTGGGAACAGGGAAAAGCTTTCCTCAGGCAGACAGTCTGTGGTACATGCTGCCTTCACCAGCAACACACTCCTCAGCAGCTTTCACCACATATGTTTTCCATCCTGCCTGACCTAGGACACCAGCTTTATCCTTGAGCTTTCCCATCTTTTACCTATGGCATGATACTTCTTGGCAGTCAATCAGCTGCCCAAGTTGATTCCTTTGATGGAATACAGCAGCCAAACACAGGGAGAAAAGAGAAAAACTGAGGCACGGGAGGTGGCAAGTGTCTTGCTGCCTTGTGTGGCTCAGGGGCTGCTGGCAGCACTGAGTAGGTAGTATCTGCTGTCCTACTAAACTTGAGCATTGTTGGGCAGTCAGGGGATAAAAAGACGCCCACAAGGCTTCCTGCTGTCATGCTTGGGAAGGTCAGGGAGACCTACTGTGTCCCTACAGGGACCTAGCGCAGGAACCGGCATACAGCAGAGCTCAAGTGCTAAGACAAGCTTTGATCTCTCCTGTGACATAACAGGACTACTGCAGCTAGATGGTCCAAGGATAGGAGATATTCAAAGATATTATCTCTCCCTATAAATGTGCTTCATTCATTTCTAAAGAAAATTAAAAAAGATGTAAAAAGCAGATATGTTGTCTTACTTACACTGCAAACCTCTGAAAGTAACATGATTTCTTTCACTATCATCAGTCAGTAAGGAAAAATATGAGGAGCTCCAATTAAAACTGTTAGGAAGGAAGAAATGGGGATGCAGGGCCTGTTTTAGAGGATCATTTCAGCTCTAACAGTGCCTGGAGGTCTTGGTCTGTTCTAGAAAAATAATTTGGTGGCAAAATACATGGGGAACCTACCTACAGCTGCCATCAAGGAGCCCAGCTGGCTCATCCTCACACACGCACAAAGACACCAGCAATAGGAAGGCAAGTTCAGTTTAGGAGTCAGCTTGTCACTGAGAAGGAATCTTGTCCCACACCAGTGTCAGGGGATGCCCAGCCCTAGCAGAAAGGAGGCTCTGAAATATGTGACATTTTTCTGCATGTGACAGCAGCACATGGCCTGGCAGAGGGCTCTCCACGCAGTGCCCTGAACCAGCAACAGCTCTGGCATTTCTGTTCCTGGACAGAAAGCACAAGTGGTTTTCCATGCAGCAATTTTGTATGTCCAATTAGACTACTCATGTCCAACATAACCTGTGGCAAGGACTGCGGCAAGCTGCTGTGGTACAGTCAACTTCCTGTCCCAAAGTGGATTACAGATTCCAGGTGAAGGAAGGAACATGCTAAATCCAGCCATAGCTCAGTATATGAAGAGCCCGAGCAGCTGCTGCAGATTTGCCTAGGCTTGCTTCTGCTTCTCCACTGCAGATACCTGGTTTAGAACAACTTCTTGGGTACTTCAGTTACTGCTTTTGCAACTTGTTTGCTGGATTTGTTTCCCTCATTGCCCTGGAAATCGAGGGGCCTCCTGCAAAAAGGTCAGCAAACACTTGCTGGTGGGAGACAGAAGCTCCAAACATGAGTCCGGAGGACAGGGACCTGGTTTCCTGGCACACGTCACCCCAGCCAGCTCCAAGCCAGAACAAATTACACTGCCATAAACCAGCTGTTAAGCAGCAGCATTACCAACGGAATGGTAATGGAAAGCCAAGGAGCTCTCCCAGGCACTGGAGTTAACGTGCTACCGGCAGGTGATGGAGATACTGCTCTGAAAACTGGCATCTTAAACAGAAAATGCATCTGCAGGTTTGGTTTGTTGGGGTTTTATTCACAAGAATTCACTGCAATAGTAATTCTCAGGTTTGCATGAACCTTTCTATAGTGCGAGTTTCTTGGCAGTGACAAATTCATCACATATTAGGTCACAGAGATGCTTCCTGGCTGAGGTACACTTTAAATTGGCTGAGAAAGGATGAGACAACTCACGCAGAACTGTTTTCTTAACTAATCCCTGGAACTCCTCATGGATTTGGCCAGTATTCAGCTTTTTAGTTAACTGCTGCTGTATACATGGACTGGGGAGGTTGGGAGAGTGCAGAGAAGTGGAAATACCCACAGATCTCATCACACAGAGTGGAGAACACAAAACAGCAGCTTGGTGGTTTCAAACGCTCCTGTTGCATCTGACTTTAGGTTTTTTGGAGCTGAAGTACAGTTTCCTCTTAGATGTGAGAAGCCCTTGCACGTTTTTCTCCTGATGGGAAGGTAATTTCTTCCTGCAAACCCCTTTCTGGAGGCATCCAGCCAGGATGAACTGAGCAGCCATGCAGGCCGGGTTGGGCAGCATGCCACCAAAGATGAACATGGTGTCCAAGACCGTGTGCTTAGTTCCTTGCAAATAAAGGGTTTCCCTAAAGTTGGAAGGGGATGAGAGGGGATGAGAAGGAGCTGGAGGGGATGAGAAGATCACCCCAAAGCAGAGGGATGACACCAAGAACTAAACATTTCTTCCTTGGGACCGCATTCAATCAGCGGGATGGTGTGAGAGAGAGCAGCAGCTCACTCCTAGGTGAGCAGCTGTGACTCCACATGTGCTCAGAGATAACTCTGCAATGGTGTAATTCCACCTGTGACTGGAAAGGACTAAAATTCCCACTTGTGTTTGTTCTGATGGCAAAGCAGCACAAAATGCCTGCATATATGGCGTGACACCATGGAAATATGCCAAGTTTAATACGAGAGTGTTACACTGTCCCAAGGCAGGTGCCACAAGCACTAAGAACAGTTCCCCTCGGGATCCAGCAGAGAGTATGTGCAAGCCTACCTTTGCCAGACGTTCCTTCTTGTCCCACCAGTCATCAAATGCCCGAAACGCTACCACTTCAACCATCTTCCGGTTCAGGTCCCTTTTCATGATAGCCTTTAGTTCCTTCACTATGACCAAGAGGACTCCATCCACAGTGGCTTTGTGGGGATCTTCCTTCTTCGGCTCATAACCCGGTGGCGGAACCGAAGGGTCAAACTTGGGCAGCGGTGGCCACTGCTGACCACGACCAAGAGCTGCTCCCATAGAGAAAGGGCGGTAGGGTGGAAGGTTCACAAACTGCATCCGACCCGTCATGAAAGGCGGATACTGGTATGTGTTCTGTGCCTGCATCATGCGGCTCAGCATCTGAGTTTGCATCTGGAAGGACATTGGCATGCCACCCCACTGGTTCCCCAAGACACTTATCATATCCACTTGCATGACAGGGAACATGCCAGGATGGAACGGAGGAAGCGGAGGCAAGATATGAGGTGGAGGGACCCCAGGAGGGGCAGGGAGCGGTGGGGGGGGGACAGTGACAGCAGGGTGAGTAGGTGGAGGTGGTGGAGGCAGCGGCGGAGGCATCGGGAAGCCTGGCTGTGGAGGTGGTGGAGGAGGAGGAGGAAGAGGAGGGAATCCTGGTGGTGGCATGGGAGGAATCGATGGGGCCATCACGCCTGTGTTGCTGACAGAGGAGTTCACCACAATGGTTTTGGCACATTCTGCACTGGTGATGGGTGCAGGGTTGGTCTCATCGTCAGAGATCTCCATGTCCTCCCCTGAAGAATGCTGACCCTGCGGCAAAAAAAGGAGAGAAAAGGTGAGGAGCACATTCCTTTTACATGGAATATCACAGCGCCCGCTGCTTCAAACAAAAGCTAAGTTTCACACACACTTTAATTGGGAATGGAGAAAAGCAAGCGATGCTCTGAAAAGAAAGGGCCCACTGAGCAGCTGGTGCCTATTGAAGCCTTTCTCTTCCATGTCAGACCTCAGAAAGCAGAGAGGTAAAAGCTTTCCAAAAGAGCATCAATACCAACTGAACAAAACCCTGAGCTCCAATGGAATAGGAGGAATTGCTCCCCTGCTCAGCAAAATAAACACAATTCAAACATCTTTCACTGCAAGATTCATTAGCTCTTATTTGCACCCAATACTGACAACGTGCATTCCACCAGGAATTTTTATTCCATGGTTTTCACCATGCTTAAATTACCCTGTTTTTTTTTAATTATAATTCCTGGCTCATTTGCTGTCAACTCTTAACCTCTAATTGTGGGAAGACAACACTTCCACGTGGTTGCTGCTGCAAGCTGTCTTGACTAGACCACAGCAATTCACATGGGGAAAAGAGAACCCTACGTCTCCTTAAATTGCCTTTAAGCATCAGTCATAAATACTGGGATTCAAAGACGCAGCATATACCATGGTTTTGGGCAAAATGAATACTTTACTAGCAACAAGAAACAGAGTTATATAAAACGCTGGAACAACGTCCTACCTCTGCTATCAAAGGGATGGAAAATGGATTACAACAGAAGGTGCCTGCTTGTTCTGAAGTCTCAAAGCTGCCTGATTAGGTCTTGTCCAACAGAAAAGCCCCATCCTCAACAGCAAATGGTCACACTTGCATGCTACGTCCTACAGGCACTTCAGTCCTGAAGGTGTCTCCAGCACAACGAAACCACACATATGACTGTCACATCCCTCAGGTATCGTGAAAACAAATCCCGATAAGAAATACGGCAACCAAATACTGCTGGAAGACATATCCATCACACTGACAGTTTATCTAGGAAACACGAATGGGACTGACCCTTTACTAGTGGGATGTCAGCAAACACAGGACAGGGTCCCAACAACCACCTCCAAAACTATTTCTCCCATTCTTCCTTTTGTTCCATCACTCTTGTGACAGCAAACACTCCTCAGCTATTTTCAGGACTGAAGAGCAGCATTCACCACAACAGTGCCTCCCAGGCTCTTTATAAGCATGGCTGGTTTGCCTCCTTTGAAAGATTTACCAAGCACCTCCTTCCTCACAACAGCTTCGCACAACAAACCCAGACAAACAGTTTGGATGTTGCCATCAGCTGATCTAAAGGAGAATCCCTACATTCACCAGCACAGACCAGAGCACAGCAGTGATGCTCTACCTCCACCGGAGCTCTTCTGCCTGCCCTGCATGCTGCAGGCTCCAGCCCAGCTGAGGCAGTAAGAAGAGATTGCAGTCAAATGGTCTTTTAAGTACTTCTCTGCATCGCAACCCTAGCAAGAGCTCTGGATCCTGCTGGCTGTTTTCAGCCAAATTTGACTCAAGATCCCCAAGTTGTTTATTTCTTCCACGTTTTGTGCCAGCAGGTGCCTCTTCTGTCTGCCCTCCTACTAGTCTCCCCAGTCTGAAAGAAAAGAGCGACAGAGCTCAGCCTTTATCAGACACCGGAGAACCTGCACTGGAGAGAGCTGTTGGGAAGAAGCAAGCTTTGTTGGCTTTAAAGCTGCTGTGATATTATTTGTAACCAGTGTACCTTGCATGGGATAAGGGAACAAAAGCAAGAGCAGATGAGCTGACAACTCTAAACTGTAGCTGTACGAAGCTGAGTATCCCAATCAAACCAAATGCTTCACGTTTAAGCAAAGGTCATCTCTGCTACAGCAGCTACCACCAGAGAGCAGGCTGAGCACAACACTTGGAACAGCAGCTTTGCAAATCCTCTTGTCCTAGCACCTCCCCTCGCCCTGGCTTCCCCGCATTCTTCTGCTGCAGCATGAACCCACCGGCTCATGCACTGCATGGGTCACCTCCAAAAAGCCACCCATGGTTTTAGGGGTCTGAACATGTCCAACCCCTCAGGAGACCACTGTGTAACCACCTGCAGAAGGGCTGAAAGCACAAGCCTGGCAAACCCGGCAGCAAGGGCTAGGAGTAACGGAGACAGGACTTGCATCTGTACGTGCAGGGAGGTATTCCAAGAGCTGTTCTGAAACCCCCCAAATGAACAGCTAAAAAAAGAGAAGTCGAAATAATAACCCACTGCACTTGACTCTTTCCAAAGCTGAACTGTATCATCTCCTCCTTGAGCTGTACACATCTGGCTGAGGTTTCTAAGCAGGTCTCACCCCCTGCATCCTCTCCCCAGCTGCTCTATTGCAGTCACGTCCCACGCTGATGATGCTGGGGAATGAGAGGACATTCTGCAGTTTCAACTGCTGCAGCTCCAGTGAAAGGAGCAAAGGAAGAGCAAAGATGGGGACTGTGGCAGGTGCAAACAAGTTTCCTGTGGAACAAACGCCATTTTTCAGTCAGTGAACACAAAAGGCACTGTTAAATGCACTGGTTCCAATTGCAAAAGCTGGATGATGCTAAAGGTCAGCATTAGATAGGAAGCCACAACTATTTAGGCTACCAAAGATAGGCAAAATCAGCTTCACACTCGCATTCACCTCATCTTATGGGGTATAGAGGAAAGTCACCCCATGAAGCCTCATTGGTGCACCAACACTAGGCAGTGTGATGGGGAGCTCCAAGCCACAAATCCTTCCCAATCCCCAGTTCTCCCTGCAGGATTCTCCCCTCCTGCAGCACCACCAGCCCAGAGCAGCCCATCTCAGAAAGTGCTGCTGCAGGAGACCTGCATGCTCCTGCCTATCACCCAGAGCCCACTCCCATCCACACCAGCCCTTTGCTCAGTCTCAATACCAAAGAATCCTGCCTGACAAATAACGTTGGTTTTCCCTCTTGAAGGAAAGATCAGCTGGAAAAAGCCAATCCTGAAACTGCAGAGAGGTGGCAGGACAAGCTGGAGTCCATGCTGTAGTGCACGGCATGCATATATTTGCATACATAGTTGCATATATACTGCCCATCCCTGTCAGTGCTCAAGGCCAGGCTGGACAGGGCTTGGAGCAAGCTGCTCTAGTGGAAGGTGTCCCTGCCCATGGCAGGGGTTGGAACTGGATGAGCTTTAAGGTCCCTTCCAACCCAAACCAGCCTGTGATTTATGATTTATTTTTACTTAAGGTGAAATAAGAACTGCTAAAGCACTAAGGAGCATCATTCACATATGAAAGATTATTTTAATTTCTTTTGGTGCTCAGATTTGTCTCCAGGAAGCAACAACAGATTCTCTGCTTCCTATAATATCGGGCTGACAACTCACCTGCACTTTTACAGTGAACAGTCTGTGCTCCAGTTTTATCCCGAGCAAGATGGAAAGGGAAAGAGATGAAGCAGCAGGGAGAAACAGATCAAAAAGGCAAGGGGGTTGAGAAAAGAATAGCCAAGGTTAGGAAAGAGGTCAAACTAAAAGAAGATGGTCTAAAAGGGAGTCTTTAAAGAAAGTTAAGAGGAATGAATATTTAAAGTGGATGAGCAGTTACAGGAAAGCCATATCTAAGGCAAGGGGAAACATGGGCACCAACTGAGTGAAAGGGATCAAGGTACAGAAGGAAAAACCAGGGGCAGACATCAAAAGATCTTCTGTTATATGGATTTCTTTTCATTCACCTTTCTGAACCTGGATTTACTGCGGTTGCTACCAAATACCTCTCAGGGTAAAACTGAAAAGTAGCTACACTGTCCTCCCAAAGAAACTGCCTTCTAGCTGGTCTCCCTCTTTACTCATGCAAGGGGAAAAAAGTGGGCTGATGTAATGCACTGTTATGAGGCTGTCATTGGGCTGTATGCACTGTTATGAGGATGTCATTGCCATCACTATCAAAAAACCTGTGTCCATCAGACCTGGAGTTCACTCACCTGCTTTGAGGGCACCCAGTACAACACCTCCAGAAAACCTCCCTTCAGCCCACTGAGAGAAAAGCCATTTCCAACTAAATTAATCTGTGCTGCCATCTTTACTTTGCATTAATTAAATCAGGACTTAGCAAAACAGGTATTTAATTTTATGCATGACACATTTTTCCAAAGGTGTTTTAATGATGCAGATTTGTTGGGAGAGATTCACATCAGTGTAACTGGTTATAAATGGCCTCATTCACTGTTCACCCAAAATGCTAAATGCCACCTTTAATACTGGTACAGTGCGTTTTAGCACAGGCAGATCCTCTTAAGTGAAGGGAACATCCCAAAATCTCACTCCTGCATCAGCCTGAATAATGACAGGGTAGACAGCCACTGAATGCAGGGTATCGGTCTAATCTCAGAGCAATACCCAGCATTTAGCAAGCAAATGTTCATACCTGCAGAAAAAAGAAACTACATCCTAATATCTGCATGCAGAACTGGCAGTTTCCAGATGTGAAGAGGCTGTTCCCAGAGGAGCAGTGACACTGCGGCAGCAGCTGGGAGCTTCATCGTAGGTGCTGTTCAGTACCCTTCCTACGTGCAGAGGAACTTCACATGCTTTCATTTCCTTTTAAAAAGGCCATCTGAGAAAGAATTCACTCAGAATTTCAGAATGCATTTTGAATACCATCAGCTTACAGCTCATTTCACTTAAATATTCTGCTGGGTACCACATTACTTATATTTGAGGTTGAGAACTTCTATCACTGAACATAGCAACTGCTCTGACACAGCCTGGCTGAGCTCTGGTGCATCAAAATAATGACATGCAGGATCAATGGCATTCAGCACAATGCAAGGTCATTAGCTGTAATGAAGTGAAGCATCCCATGCTTGCAAGAAGTAGCTAACCTTTCAGCCTGCTGCAACTTGCACTCACAGAAAGGAAACAACAAAAGAATTCACTCTTTAAGCCCTAAACCTTAAAAAACTCCATACTGAAACACGGAAAAGCTTTGCCATTTGAAATGTTAAGAAGCAGCTTTTCCAT